CCATCTGTTATTGTACATCTTCGTTTCTACGCAGAAATCATTATGAATGATCTATAGATTCCACTCGACTCGAGAATCGATGCACGAATGATGATACACCATGCTCGCACACCATGAGAATGTGAGGTCAGAGACCGACCACTTCTCAAGGTAAACAGCTATCTTAACAGAAGGGCAAAACCTCTTCTTCTCTCCTGGCTTCGTCACATAGGATGCCCCTAAGACGACAGAGCCATGAAACGACGGTTGCTTAATGGTAAAGGCTACTAGGAAACGAAAACCACCTATAACACGATCGATCGATTTCGCAATAGACTGACAGACATCTTCGTTGCCGACTGGTTCGATCGCTCGATCTCTTCGCGAATTTCGATAAACCGTCTCTATTCAAAGAACACCAAGAGGCTTTGGCACGATCGTAAAAAATTCAGGAAAAACTGTTTTCCTCGACGCTGCCTCGATACTGCGTTGCGAATGGCTATTTTTCAAGTTTCCTCGAATCTCGTGACATTTAGATATTGCATGCATCGCTTATTCAGAGACACCTTACACGTATTTTTCGCGGAGAAGAAACGAAGATCGCAGTTTACGATAACGATTGCTGATTAATGCACGAATGGAATTTTTCTATGACGAGAAAGGCTGGTAATTCTGTAACCAACGATGATATTATCGTTTCGCTTGCAGAAAATCAAAAATCGTTATTAAAGCAGAAAATATCTGGTCGCGAAATTCTGTTATCGTGCGCTAGGTTTCGATTTGATGATTTTATCGAAAGGGAAATTACGAAAAGCGGTCCCAAATATTTCTGTGAACGCGGTGGAGACCAGATCGTTGATTAGACGCCTGGTCATTACGAATCCCGGTTGCCAGGCACCGTTTATTATTTTATCGAGAATGTCTTCGAGTATTTGCCGGCCGTAGAGCAGGTTCGTGATGTGAAGTTTCAAATCTCTGATAGTTTGCACGTCGACGCTCACTTGGATCTTCTGTCCTGGTCGTTTGGTCACAGTAGTCGTCTGAATCAGATCGTCTGAAATAAAAGTCGTTAGTTTCTATGTTTCCAGTCACATGGTGTTCGCAAACCATCTATTCGGCATCGCTTACACAGGGCCAATGTAAATTTTCCTTTGTTGCGCATGGACGATCCAAATATGGACCCATTGAATTCGTAAGAGCCCGCCAGAAATTTCTCTGGGAAACTCTGAGTGTAAACAACCTGAAATCAAAGTACAAAGAGTTACGGGGTCTATCATGAAATGGTACGAATGGTACGAAGACGGTGACCTCGGCCAGACAATTTATTTTATTCCTACTTAATAAAGTACTTGGACTTTACCTGCATCCGAGTACCAAATTTTAATATTCCTTTCACCCCGTTCTCCTCAAGGCAATCAACTCCTGCTTGAGAATCAAAACTTCTCGAACAACTTCATCGAACTCTTTGAATACGGAAACCTTATATATATAACTGTACCTTGTAGTGTGGCAAATCACTGACGAATTTTGTCACTTTGCTCGCGGTCCATCCAGTTTCGGTGACGTTCCTCAGCGTTAAAGTAAAGCCAAAATTTGGCATTCCTCGTGTCACCGACACTTCCCTAGCGAAGAATGGATCGAACGGAGAGACATTGTACTTGGTGAGTCCAGTTTTGAAATAAGGTCGAATGGCATTCAACGCTTCTCGGACACACGCGTCGAACCCTGGTACATTTGGATGGCAATCTTCGAAGTGCTCCTCTGAAACAGAAGAAAGTTTTTCGACTCTTTCGTCTGGGATAAACCGGTTTCTTCGTTGGTTGATTTTATCACGGTAAGAATACGTAATTTCAGCAGACTAAATTATTGCGATAATTGTTTCTGTAGAAAGTGTTGTTTCGTCACTGGGACTGTACATTTGACGCGCTTAAATTAAATTAGTGGAACCATCTTGCTTGAAATTGAACGAACAGGGGTACAAAGATGATATTAACGTATCTAAAATATTTTCTCAAGAAAGAAGAAACAGATTAGGAACGCTCCATAAGGCATGTTACCATTTAAAGTTTTAGCGTGCGTCAATTGCAATCTGGGACACCGTTGAAAAAGGAATGCGATAGTCACGCTAACTGAGATATTATGTTGCTTTAAATCCAGTGTATTGCTAAATTAGTATTATAGAAAAAGAAAAAAGTATAACCATTTTTCCTATATGGTTATCGCATTCCTTTCACGCATTTCAGAACAAGATTACAGATCGTTTTAAATCAATGCTAGAGACAAGTAGGAAGAGGCTTTGAGAAAAAACAACCAATCAAGTAGAGAACCAAATTTACATTGAATCAGGCGTCCAACCGAGTCTTCCAGGTTCCTTACAATGGTCTGATTCTCCTTGAGAATTTTCTGCTTGCATAATCCGCACCCTATTACGTCCTTCACGCAACACGCTTGTTTCGTACAGTTATGCTTTGGCACCAAAGACTTTCGAGAAACTTTCAACGAAATACGGGAATACCTTCGATATTGATCAAATTGAATTGAAAATTGCCTTTGCGTAACACAATAAACAAAACCATTGGACACGAATTATCCGCGGATTCCTGAAAAAGCACGTGTCACTAGCACGATCTCTGCCGCGCAAAATCTTTTTTAACGTCGCCGTCGACTGGAACGGTTAAATACGTTTAATGAACAATGCTTGCAATTGGCATTCCGAGGTCCTTTTACACAACCGTTTCGCGGCGATAACCGTGTCGTACTGCCACGACGATAGTGGGCAACTCTGTGCGATAGCAACTAGTTCTCTTACCGAATTCAGCGATCGAGGATGCAACCAGGAGGAAGAGAACCACGTAGATACCGAATGGTGATCGCATCTCTGTCCAGGACGATCGACAATGTCACAATCTAACAACAATCACGCGCCTTGTTTCGGAGTACGCGGTGTAATTCCAGCAAGAAGTGAACACGCGAGCGATGCTTACGCTTTCACTCTCGATCGTGCATCTGAGAGAAGGGTTACCACCGTCGCGTTTCTGTGCCAGAATTTTCGGACGACCTTACATAATTTCACGAAGGAACACGCAGGGAGATCACCTGTCCACGACTCGGTTGCCCGCAAGAACCCCGCGAAGTGAAACGAGATCGAGATTTTACGCGACAGGTTATTTTCACGGCCTTTTTGCAGGCTGATTTTTCTGTCGCTCGAACAATTCGCGTTTCCTGCTTCCTGAAGCTTTAACCTCGGCTCCTTAGGCGAATGAAAGGACTCAAAGGATTTTCGTTGCCCTTGGGTGAACACAGAGATCGCGTGTACGGTAAGGTGACCGTCCCGTCATTCAGGGGGAGACGAATCCTCTGTGTTCGAAGAGCTGTGGAGATATACGCTGCTCAAAAAAGTTCAGAATCATCGAACTTAATTTCATTTTTTTCTGATAGACCTTTCTCGAGATATCAATTAAATCAGAGATCAACACGCATTACGAAACTGGTTTTTTTCCATTTCGCTCTCAAGACATTGAGTTGCTCAAAAAAAGAACAGGAAGAAGGATATCGATACTTCCTATTGGTCGTATTCGACGAACAATAGATTGCACCTGGATAAAACAGGCCAGCCAGATCGGTTTGTAGGCAGAAGTTGCTCCAGTTGCTAAACTGACGTTATATTCGGTTGTCTGTCGACCGAAAGACCGCATACGATTTAAAAAAAAAAAAACAGGTAAATCGTTTACACAGCTACTTATTATAGTCATTCATTTTTATGACGATACATAATTTTGATAGAAAAAGACACAGGTTAATGGAGTGACTCAAGAATCGACCGAGAACTTTTTAAATACTTGAGAAATCCTCTATTTTTCTACATCCTGCATATTTAACGATTATCGCCTTGAACAACTTGTCTACTTCTGGCGATAGAAAAAATGCATTATACGAATTTTGTTTGAGCCTCATCAGGACCATCTGCTGATGTCAATAGCTTTTTGTAGATGGAGGTATGGAGGTACGAAGGTCAACTTTTTTCTTTAAATGGAATGAGCGTGATTCTTCGCTTACATCCTAATGGAGCATTTCAAAACGCGTACATTAACCTATGGTTGAAGGCCAGCGAAAGTCATTAAAAATTAACTACGATGGAAAATAATTGGTTTGAAAGAGCGATCAGGATGTACGACGACAATACGATCCCATGAATTGACGATTCCTGAGAATTACTTCGACTCGTTTGGTATCGGTATTTCCTCATCAAAGGTGTTACGTGGGCAGTAGATGGGATAGACAAAGTATGACAGAGGCTCGTTCTTCTATTATACAATTTTCAAGGATTATTTTTGTATTTATATAATATTTATCGTAACGCATTATTAGATAAAATATAAAATTCGTTGTCATTCTTCGACACACAACTCTAAAATTCAGAGTCTGACGGCACCTTTTCGAAGGCAACCAGGTTTGCAGTGGTGTAGAGACGGTTGAGGTATTGTTGCAACGCCAAAGAATATTCATACGATGCAAAAAAACTTTTTAATAAAACTGAAGGTCGACAATTGTTAACAACAGAGGTAATACGTTTAATAGGTATTCGTTAAATACCAAAAATAAAAGTATCGATCAAATAAAGGTGGATGAATAAACATTTCGTTAAAATGTAAAATATCCTGTACAGTTGGGACAGTAGCATCTTCGCAATTTTATACATACCACGTGCTCAGTCTACCAAAAATTACATTGCACAATGTTCTGACTTCAACTACCGACTAATAGAAATTACCCAGCAAGGAATTTCTAAAAGTGTCACACTATAGCAATTACTCAATCATCATATCCTATCAATTCCTAGTCATTTGCAACGTACATAGAGTTCAACGTTGCGACATCGCGTCGTTTTTAAAAGTTTCGACCGTTCTACATGATTTATCGTTGTTTTTTTTTGTATCTTTACTCATTCCCCCTTCGTCGCAATTTAAAGAGTTCGTAAAAGGCACGTTATTCTCGTCGAGATAAAAATTGCGTTCTCCGATACTTGGGATTAGTCTAGATACTTTTAGAAAGTTAAACCTTTTTCTGCGATGAAGTAACGCATAAATTCTTGATTTTCATCTAGTGTTCTAATCTTTGAAACATACTCGAGGACAAAGTTTACTCCGGGTATTCCCTCTTCTTCCGTGATATCGAAGAAAATGTATGCGGTATGCTTGTAATGATTAGATTATCCAAGTTTTCTAATTATACTAGAATTATTTTTTGCAGCAAATTCATCGACATCGTTCGGTAGGTTCCAGAAATAAATGAAAAGTCAATACAAAGAGGCCTGGATAAAAATAGTTTCGCACAGAGCCAAGAGGCGCGAGAGGCATTCCAGGAGCAGCTTTCCAGTTTGCTGCGGATAGCGGCGAGATTAGAAAAGATCGAAGAGTATCTAGGGTACTTTCGACGGGTCTAACATGGCCTAAGAGGGACTCGTCTATCGTCACTGACGAAGAAGGCGCAGGTGCACGTTGCAGCAGTGAAAGTATCCGCGTGCAGTTACGATCCGGCATCTGTCAATGCCCTCTTGCATAGTCAGTCTTGGTCTAGCGGTGCCGTTTAGCCGGGGACCAGCGATTTGAAGCACGCTCGTCGAAAGTATCGGTGTCCGTCGAGTCTAGACGAGGATCACACTCGGAGTCCAGGTGGATCTGGCCAGTAGGGTACCACGGATCCTTGGAAAAAGTCTTGGAAACGGTCGCAGGTCCAGTTCGATCTCTGAATCAGGTCAATTAACTACGACCACGATGATCGGATCGGCGCTCTGTCTCCTACTCCTCGTTGCGGGTGGTTCGACTACTCTCTCCGTCGATTCGAACCGTGAGTTACTTTAATTTTTTAATCGGAGGACCGCTTATGTCAGCGATTGTTAATTTTTCTAAACTCCTGGCCAGTTTAAACTTTATCGATCCCTCGCCAGCGTACTTTTTCTTTTGATATCGAATAATGTTTACGAATCAGAGTAACGAGAATATTTTCTGAACAATTGTTCAGCAGCATTAAAATGTACGGTTGCATCGGGAAATGTCCAATATCGCGCAGACCGACTTCACCTCTATTGCATAACGTTTTTTTTAGGATGACATCTAATAGCCGCGCAGGCCTTGACGCTTATTTTTCGAAAAACGAAGTGAAATTATATTTGTTTATTTATCGCTAGTGTTAAAAACAAGAAAAGATAGAAATTCGTCGAAACCAGTGTTATGTCGCGACGCAACGATTAAGTATCAATGGCTTACGCGATCGCTTCCTGGTAGACACAGGTCTCTCCGAATCAAGTTTGTAAAAAATTTTCGAGTGAAAGTCTTATAAAATGAGGATATTATCATAATGGATTATACGGAAAGGAAACTTTTTTTTGGAAGGGGGGGAAATCTGGTTTAGTTGTTTATCGTTGGGTGGTGTTTCGTTGCGATTGTTGGGGTTGAAAGTTGGGTGTATCGATGCAGCCAGGTATTGCGTATACTCGCAGCGAATTTTCGCCGGTTGAAAATTGTGCGAATGTTACATAAACGTGCTGCACCCGGTAAGGAGGTCGTGCAAGTGACCCTAAGAAATTTCATTAGGATTTCACAATGTGTAGTTAGAGTAACAAGCTGCTTGGCAACTAGCTTTTCGTGCGAGTAGCGCGCGGTTTCCGCTTACCTCACATCGATATATCCGATATACGATTGCATTTTTTTAATGACACTTTATTAGAATAATAGATCAACTACTTTATTTGACTAGTAATCGTACCGATACTATATGTATATTTTGTGATTTCAGCGGAATACGTGAAGCAGTGTTCGAGGAGCGATCCAAAGTTGAAAGCTTGTCTGATCGATGCCCTCCACCATCTGAGACCATATCTAAGAGTCGGAATACCGGAAATCGAGCTGCCCTCGGTTGAGCCGTTTCGTGTAAGCTTCTTTTACCTTCTTAGAATAATAATAAAATGTATCAATTACCTCTACTCGAGAATTCAGAACATTTCAATATCGATTTCTTTCACATCGGTTACTTCATGTATTACCCCATGCGACTTGTCCTAACAGATGGGCGAGCTGACTCTGTCTCTGACAGGTGGTACAAACGGTTATAAGGTACAGCTACGCGAATTGTTCGTAAAGGGAGCGAGCAACTACACCGTTGAGGACATTAAACTCGGCTCACCCTTCGAAGCTATTGTACGAATGCCAGCCCTTATCTTGGACGCGCATTATTCTAGGTTTGCTTCCATCATTTGTCCGTTTACAATTGTGCTAGCTTTCTTTGGTCATCTCGGCAAATTAAATGTCTCGTTTTGTCGATCGTTCTTTGACATACCTAACGTACAGAACGAATCGTGACTATAAGTTTATATTAAGTAATATATTATGTAGAGTAAACGTTACGTGACTGATACCATTATTCGCTTCTTTTCAATATGTCAGTGCAGGAGTATTAATCATTCTACCAGCCAGTGGTAACGGAACGTTTCACGCTCGTTTCGACGACGTCAAAGCTCTGGTCAAGGGTACCGTTTCCACAAATGCGAGAGATGGAAAGACGTATCTTAACGTTGAAAATCTCGATGTCGTTCTGGATGTGAAACACGTACAAATGAGAGTCCGTAAATTCTTCAACAATAATCGTATACTGAGTAAGTATCCGTGTCAACTTCTGTCGTAAACAAAACATTGAACGTTAAAATATATATAATTATAATAAATATTCTTACAGCCGAAGCAACCAACCTGTTCCTGAGAGAGAACGGACAGGAAGTGCTAAAGGTGATGGAACCACAGTTAAAAAAGAAACTGTCCGTACTGTTTGCTGGCATTGTCAATCAATTGTTACGCCACGTGCCCGTCGAAGTATTCCTGCTACCTTGAACGTACCTTCTCCATTGATATTTTGTTGTTACCGTGGCCGCTGGTATTGTCGACTCTTCTAACAAACGAGCATAAGCTAGCAAGCTACATAAAACAAAAAAAAAGCGGTTAGAATTAGGACAATCTACGTTGTAAGTAGAGGTGTATCGCACGAATGATTTATAATTTGGGTTGTCTGGGATATCGGGGTAATGTGGGCATAGTTAAGTTTACTCTCCAAAATAAAAGAAAATAGTAGTAGTACAACACGTTTGTTTATATATTATAAACGACTATTATGTACGGAATATGTATGTATATAGTTTAATAAGATGGATTTTTATTTGCAAACACGCAACGATCATTGCGAAAAGAAATATGGTAACATGTAGTGGTGCATGTGGCACATATGCGGAGAATATAGGTAGGATGAATTTGATTGTATTCCATTGGAAAAATAGTATGAAATAAACGTAAATATCAATATTTATGTGTTTATCCATGTACATATATGTGCTTATTATATTTCATTACTACGTTTAAAACAGATACCAAACGGATCATCGTAATCGACACAGTCGTCATGAAACCAAACACTATACATACAGTATTCCTCGCATCAAATCTAGCTGCCACTTATATTACAAAAGAACTACATGTTCTACGCGCCACAAGAAATACTTCATATCGCACGAGTAGTACATGTACCCAAAAAACAATTGGTATCTCTGCGAAGTATAATTTTAGTGAAATCTATAACAATGATTGGAATTACTCGTAGAAACAGTAAATATATGTATATATTTGTAACGTGAACTTTGCATTTTTTATTTTATGAGTCAATCGTAACAGAAAATCATTGGAACAAATTAATATTTGGTATTTGGTTTATTTACATCGCTGACATTCCATCCAATAACAATCATAGTTGACGATACATGCAAGTGCTGTCTTGCAGCTAGCGCTTGTCATTGCAGTGTGCTCGACGACCACACGATTTAAATGCAAAAATACCTTCAAGTGTCACTAATATTGTTTACGCTATAGAACATTAACATATCCATCGAATCGTACTTATTCATATCCATAGCTTCGCTCCAAATGTTTTAACTTGTCCAAAAACAATCGAACATCTTTCCGTTCTCTCTTCGATTCACTTCTAATGATTTACCATTGATTTAGCGTGTTTCAGGGAAAAATCGACGAAAAAGGTATCTTCGAGAAGAAACGATTGGTTGTTTCGGTGAGATACACGTCCCAACTTTTCATCATCTTTGGCAGCATGCCACGGTACACCACTGGCCAATACTCGTTAATGAAAAGCATGGCGGCACGATCTATAAATATTATTTTCGTTATTTGTATGTTGAAGTATGCCTATGAAAGTTGTAAAGAAAATTGAAGATTGGTATCGTCTTAAGTAAGAGATCGCGTAATAGGTCGACGGTATTACAATCGGAGGGATGATTGATGTTACGAAGGCAAAAGTATAAACACGAACAAATAACAGAGGAGAATGTCCAAATTGCATGCTAATCATGCGTTCCCCTGAAACTCGAGTTTCCATGCATTCGTGGCGACGCGACGGCTATTACGCAACGATGGGATGTCAAAGTGACGTAGTTCGACTAATGAATCTTTGCGACAACTCAAAATGCCATACATAGTAAATTATTCTTCCTGCTCGTGTCACATTCTATCCTACTGTGTACAACATTCCAGACCGTCACTGATAAATAATTATCATCCCGTGTTTCATACATAATTAGATAGCGATGTAGTAATTCGATCTACTTACTCATTTCATCGTTTCCATTAAACAAGTCGCTGAACCAGACTTTCAAGCCTCCAATCACAGGTACTAGTTTAAAGTGTTCGATAACCCATCTATCGTCGACTACGTGTCCTGAGATATCCCATGTGCACCTGACATCGTCCATGCTGATGTTGAAGAATCCTGTTGAATGGTTTAAATTGTAAGTGGCTCGGTTCATATCGATCTACACATCGACGATTAACGTTTAAACGTTATGCTAAAACGATGTACCTTTTCCGCCGATTTTGAAGGCGCCCAAGGATCCTTCCGCTTTGTAGTCGCCGTCGATCAAAATCTTTGGTATTTCGACATCAATTTCCAATCGGAAGAAATCGTTCGACATTTCTGGTTTCACGGACAGAAAACGAGATTTGGCAAGACCGTACGTTCGGACATCGCTGGCGCTCATTTTTCCACGCAGTTGACCACTTTCGTATTCATTGGTATAAACATCGGTATAATAAGGATCTAAAGCTGGCAAGTCGAAGTCGGGCATTCCTGTTTAGATAAATTCAAACTATTATTTCCACTCGATGAGAATAAAAAAAAAAAAAAAAAACAACAGGATAAAATATTTGTACGATAAACGATACCTTGTACAAACGCGGGCCATGATTCCTGAATGGCGAGTCTCAAGCACGACGAAAAATCATCGGAGTCCTTCTTGCATGTTTTCACGCTCGCAGCTGAGGAAAAAAGAAAACGTGCACAGATTACCTAACGTTACGCTGCCTATCGAGCATAGTAAAATTTATTCTGAAAGAAAGCCGGCAGAATCACTCGCAACAATGGAAAAATGTATTCCGTTGTTGACGAGAATATCGAAAGGATCCAGCTAGCGTCGATTAATAGATTTCGCTAAAATTCAAGCTACCTCCACACTGCGCGTCCCACGCTAACTTTCTAACTCGCTAGTTCGCGACCACTGATAACGGAAACTCTTGATCCTTTCAACGGTCTACCAATTACCGCGAAACAACAAACTTTCGTCGATACATCATCGATGTACCTCTGAATCCAGACCCGATAGGAATGTCCTATATTATCGAATATTCCAGCAAAAATGTTGTAAACTTGATTGTCAGATTTGGTAGCGATAAAAACAAAGCACACTGGCTGACTAAATATAACAACATACAAAGCTGATTTTTGTCCCAGAAAATGGGCATATTTTTAAACAACGTTTTTCCTTGTACTTTCTGATAAATTGATAATAAAATAAAAATAAAAAAAAAAAATAAAAAATAATGCGTGTGGTGAAGAAAGCTTAACTTGTATAAAAATTAAAGTATCTCGAAAGGAGATAGTTTCAAGCGGCAAGATGCGTCCAACGACTCGAAGGTTAAATCGCAACCCCGACGATCGCGACCGAACGATGCCGATGGAGCAAGAGGGTAAAGGTCGACCTTTTGGAACTTACGAAGCTGGTAATCCCCTAGGACGAGGGCAACACCACAGAGCGCAACACAGATCACAGGTACAGCACGGCACGACATCCTGCTCGGTTAAAAATCTTCCAGCTAGCCTCGCCAATTATAAGCGGTCCGTTTATATAGTTTCCAGCGCCAAGGACTTCGGGCAAAGCTACGTTGCAAAATTGCATGTCATTAATGCGCGCCAACACGTGAGAGGCGAGAATCAGCAGGCTGCACCAGGTGGCATTAGGCTAAAACTCGGTCGGGAGTTGAATTCCGGGGAACGCTTTACGCGCTCTTCTTTTGTTAGTAGCATGGTACACAGATGTAACTCGGCTCGACTTTTCTGTCACTGCATCGGCATCCCGGGCTTGGTGCGCTCGCTTCTACGTCGCTCTATCGTCATCGCGGGGTTTCGCGCTGCTACCTCCCTGTGCCCGCTCGTCTAGGTGTTCGCAGAACCACTATCGGAATAATTTCCACGCTTGTTTACCTTCTACTGCTTTTGTAACATTATTTTTCCCACTGCAGCTCGTTCCCCGCGACCCACCTCCGAGAACTGGGGCTGTCCGTGCCATTCGATGAGAATTCAGAGACATCCACGATGGCTTTACCTTTAAAACGAGCATCTCATTTGTTCCGTTAAAGAAACTTCATCGGAAACTTCATCTCTAGAGGTATCGTTTCGCAATCCAAACAAAGTTATGGTTTTCATATTCGCCTATGTCTACTTGTGTCTTTCCGTGATTGCTGTTTTGGTACAATGCGAGTTTAATAACCTACAATACAGAATTTTTAATGGCACGCCTCGGCTTCCCTCGCATTTAATTTGTCACTGACGATACCTGACGCGAAATTACATCCTAGTATACATTTGCATACATGGATCAAGTTTAGAGATAACAACATAAACAGAATGACTTAGCGGAAAAACTTCTCTGGAAAAATTATAATTTTTCATACCGCACATAAGATTGTTTCAATTTGTGGAATCTGGAGTCGAGGATAATCGAAGAAAGATGGAAAGCAGCCGACCAAAGAGAAAACCACAATCGGAAGACACTTGCGACTTTCTGACCGCTTGCGTACCACTCGTTATGAATAAAAGTAGGCATTCGTGACCTTGTGACCTTGAAGATATCCATGACGAACGTTAGCGTTGAAAACGATACTGTAAACAGATGACGAGACCAGGACTGGTATGTGTCCCGAACGAATCCCCTACGGTACCGTCTACGCAGTTTTATGTAACAGAGATTACAAGCGTCCAAGTGGACGCCCTTGGATCACATCGCATCGATATGAGAAACTAGTTTTCATCAAGACGCGGCTGACAAAGAAAAACGGACAACGAAACTGTACTACATGCATTCTTGATCAGTCTGACTCTCACTCGTTTAGTCGATCGACACAGTTAATCGTTGACACAAACAAAGAACTCCAGCTCGACGGTTGCTGCTACGAGTGTGCACGAATCCATCGAGTAGATCTTACTGGATCCGAATAACGATGATTTCTTTCGTTTGTTCGTTATTTCTTTTCAAACGGGAAGGTGTTGGAAGATTGGTGGATGCAAATAGACAGCCTGTGATCGATTGTTTATTTGTTCCAAGTAGCAAAGAACAACTATCATGTATTCGTACAGTTAATAAACTGGTAGCGAAGCAGACACGTCGAAAATGTTTCGTAATAATAAGTCTTGTCGACGATGAGGTTTATATAAAATGTTTAAGCATAACAAGTCTCCTGTTCTCTCGCTGGCTTTCCGCTTTTTTGAAAGATAAGTGGTTTGCATCTCGTGCTCGTTCAGAAGAAAACTATGTAGGTCTCCCGATTAGCATTTACAGGCTGCTTATGCGGTCCACCGCTCACTGAACGGTGATTGTTGCTATCATGGAAACTAATGCACGCAAATGACACAAGTTCGAAATCTGTGTTCGTTGGCGTATACTATTGCATAGGGATTTGTAAACACTCCAGTGACCCGCATTCGGTAGGGAGCGTACAAGTCCAATGACTGTTACAGCAGTTTCAACTGGAGCTGTTCGAATAAATTAAATTTCTCGTTTTACTTTTTTTTTTATCTCAACAAATTGTATCATTTTATTATTGCATATAAATTGCAAAAGTTATCAATTGATCGGTTGAAACTCAGTAATCGCCAAAGCACTTATCGATTTTTAATTTCAGTTGAGTTTTTATTAGCTACTATATTCTAAAAAAAACGCATAAATAATAATTATTCTATTTGATAATTTTATATGTATAAAATTCACGTTTACCGACTCTTCTCGGTCGGTATTCAAGTTACGAAGCGTCCTTCTACGTAACGCCATCTACGTAGTAAAACTTGGCGCACGCAGAACCGGCCCACCATTGATTAAACCTGTCAGAGAATCAGCTGATCGTTTATTCTCGTACGTGCAATCAGCTGTGCGCAGTCATGGACGCTCTGACCGAAGAAGATTTTGCGTTACCTCCTGTTAAATACGAATGTGAGTATCGGTATCGTATTAAACGTACAATAACGCGTTGCATTCGCGGGAAGAATACTCGAATCGATCTAGAATACTAAAATCAGTAGCCGGCACGCCACCGTACCGGCCTCCATTTTGCTACACGTGTAAATCTAACGAGCTTGATTTTCAATATTTTAAGCACAATTATAGAAAGTAGAAGAAGCTAACAAAGTGTAAACGTCCCTTTCTAGATCTGGATCACACGGCCGATGTTCAGTGAGTACCAAGTTCGCAAATCCTTTGCATCAGTGACCTATACGTTTTGGAGGTTACCGCGTAAATAACCTCAAGCGAAAAGTCAGACGACGAGTCATTCTTATTTTTATTAACGCGAAGGAAACGTAAATCTGAATAAATCGTTGGAAAGATTTCATAAATACATATATGTATATTTTAATAATCGTTATGCATCGTAGGTTACACGCGTGGGGCGATACTTTGGAGGAAGCTTTCGAACAATGTGCCGTGGCCATGTTTGGATACATGACGGATTTGGAGTGGGTTCAAATGACACAAGTACACAACATCGACGCCGAGGGACACGACATGGAAAGTCTGCTTTTCCATTTTCTTGACGAATTGTTGTTCATGTTTAGCGCCGACCCATTTATCGTTGCAAAGGTACATTCAAATTTACGAGCATTTAATAAACCGTCACACGTACGATTTCGTTCCGAGTACAACATTTCTTTGACTAATACTAGTTACGCAAAACGTGCGTTTTGCACCAAGTTCGATTCATTTTATTCCGATGAAAAGCTAAAGTTCGCAATGAAGCACGTTCCACCTATTATACGTATATGTTGATTTTTTTGATAGTTTTGACCTCTCGTAAGAAACGTGACGCTTTGTGTTGTCAGAAAGTCAAGATTACTAACTTCGACCGCGAGAACTTCAAGATCAACGCGATGGCGATAGGGGAGGAATTTATGATTGGCAAGCATACGCAAAATGCCGAGGTGAAAGCCATTACGTATTCGGCGATGCAAATACACGATCGTCCGCAATCGGAACGTCCCGAAGTTTTCGTGATCGTAGACATATAGTCGTTTGGGTCCAGATCGACGTTTGATTTCATTCTTTGACGCGCCCTTGGAAGTTAACTTGGAATAATGTCTTAAATACGAAAGTGGGGATGACCACATGTACATAGAAGTAAGAAGGGAGCTTATACATCCCTTACGCCCTGCATAGAGTACGATCCTTTTGTAGCTGCGTAGGGTTCAAATAAATACGTTACGAAGAAAACACCGGGCTCCCTTCTTGACGACCTATCTCAGGTACGGACCTCTGTATCAAGGAACCCAAGTATTCGCCGAATAAATTTTTCAAATCAACTTTGTATAAGCAAAATATAATTACATTAACATATGTTTCTCTAATGTAAGTAATTTTATTTCTATAATTAATTTTACTTATTACAAGTGTCGCTCGACTGTATTTTAATCCTGTAAGTATTAAAAACATACAATATCTGTTGTATCCCATACTTGTACATTCTTGTAAAAAATACAATAAAAGTGTATGATTTTTATGTTTCCTACCAATAAAAATATTTCATGCCCGACTATAGAATAGTTGGTATTTAACGTACTGCTCGAATAAAATGTGACTTTTGAGAAATCAACGAAAATACAATTAATGATTCTATTATATCGTACACGGAAACGTTTGCAAGCGAGAAAGAAAATTAGGCCAACTTTACGCGTGCAAAGACTACGGCCCTGCGTCCAACACCCCTCCATCGTGAAGGAAGCGACGACCGCCCGCTTAGTTTCGGGCAAGAAACGACAGGCATCGGGATCCTCCCAATCTTCGGAGGTTCGTGTAATCGAAGAAAGAGAATCGAACGGTTACGGAATTACATAATTCGGGAGTGCGTGCGTTCCCGTTTCCTTTTTGCCCCCTTTCCTTCGCGATAAGGCCCACGTTAAAGGGACTCACTGCCAACATCAAGCGTGGACGTTGTTCCGTAACCGCACACCCCTGACCATGGCGGATTGACACGGTAATAATCGCTAAGGACAATATATAAAAACATTCCGGAATGTCAAAAACGAATAACTGATCCATCAAATACGAACGTGTCGCGTGAAAGTCGGTGGTATAGGGATTTTTCACCTACATGGCTCGGAGCTTGCGTGGCAGTTTCGTGGAAAACGAAAGCGACAGTTTTGGCGCGTGTGTTCGGTGTATTCTTAAAGACTTGGAGTGGCCCATGGATCCATCATTTTTCTCATACGTTTATCGTTTAAACGATCGCGACATACGATACTGGAAAAGTGCAACGCCGAATGTTACCCGAGGAACATCAACCTCCAAGGCACGTAAACAAACATCGGTGTGAAATCCAGAGGGTCCTTGTCGTCTCGATAGATGAGGTAAATTGTCGAAGCTGTGGCTAAAATCCAGTATCGTGGAAAAAGATTAAAAGGTGAGAGAGCCTAGGAACTTTTTGGATATCCGCGATAGCTGGCGGCGCGGTGGTTACGGAGTAAAGCAAAGTGACGGTTTTGGCGCGCGTACTGGACTCCCGTGTGCGACCGGCAGATGGCCGGTGCGCCGGTACATTATAGGCGCGCGTCCACGAA